ACATCTTTTCACAAGATCCTGTGTGTCTCTTACTCTCTGGTCTGTTTTTTCCAACCTTTTTGCTGTCCACGTTTCTGTGTGGTATTTTCTATTAACCTATCTTTCAGTTCACTAATCTTTTCTTCAGCTGTAAGAAATATGTTGCTAAGCACATCTATTAAGAAGCTTTTAGTTCTGTGCTTTTTAGATGTAGAATTTATATTTAATTCTTTTTTAATAGATTCTAGGTATCTGGTGAAATTCTCCATCTTGTCATCGTTTTTTCTTGGACAAAATAAGCATAGTTACTTTTTAAAACTATATCTGAGAATTCTAATACCTGGGTTACCTGTGGTCCTATTTTCTATTGTCTTTTTTCTCTCTTAATCTTAGTTCTTGGAATGTCTAGTAATTGTCGCTTGAATGTTGAGCATTTTGTGTAAAAAATTATAGTCTCTGTCACTCAAGCCCTGGCTATCTTGGCAGCTCTGAACTCCTTTTAAGAGCTATCCTCATTATATTTAGGTTCAAAATCAAGAATGGAAGGGGGAAGCCCGTACAAAAAAAAAAATCCAAAATATACTTACTCAGATTCCCCGCTCTCTCACTGAAAGGAATAACCTCATATAGGTATGTTCTTTACTATAAGCTTACATGTAAGGAAGGTGGTTCCCTCCTCCTTCTTGGAGGCATCAATGTCTATGAAGCTGTACCTTATCCTCTAAGAATACCTCTATTATTGTTATGATGATGTACATAAACAGTTGTAAATAAATAGCTGTACAAAATGAAAGAGTAAACATATTTCTTTTTTTTTGGGGGGGGGCCCTTTTGCACAATAAGATCTAACAATAATAGTCATGATAATATTCAATAAGATTTACTAGAGATTTAGTATAGGCCGGGTTCTGTGTTAGACGTTTTGTATAGATTATCTCATTCAATCCCCAGAAGGACCTATGAGGTAGTAAAGGTAATTATTCCTATTTTACACATGAGGAAACTGAGGTTTAAAGGGTTCATTCACCTTAAACAAGGTTCCAGAGCCAGGAAGTAAATGGCACAAGCATGTTTGTACTCAGATCTTTCTAACCTCAGGGTCGAGGTTCTTTTCCAACATTTTGTCCTGCCTCATGTCTTGCCTTCATTCCACGTAACTGGTTTGATGATTTCACCGAGCCCTGGAATCCTGGGATACTTCCTTAAATAAGGTGAGAACAAAGTAGTCTGAGGGGTTTACATGCAAATAAATCTCCTTCCTGGTACATTTTTCTTGGGTATTTCCAGATTCTTACCTCCCCTACTCAGCTTTGCTTTGATATATGTTTTTACATTACATGCTTCCATATATAAGTTCTGTGGCAAATCTGAAAGTAATTTTTTAAATAAAGCTTTATGCAGGGACAGGAAGTAATTAGTGGTGGGGTTTTATTTTGGGAGGATGAGATTGGTGAGGGGTGGGGTATAAGGAGAAATTGCTTTCTGCAGTGTCAGATGAATGAGTTACAGGAAATGATGGCTCAGCCAGCAGCTTGGTGCTTGCCAGTGAGTCAGCAGTGATTCCACCCTCAGTCTCGATGCTGGAATCACAGCTGTGAAAGACATTCTTCCTGGTGAGGGCCCCTCCCTGCCTTGCTGTCTGGGGCATGGATGCTCTGCCCACATAATGTGAACCATTCAGTTACCTGTCCTAGTGGAGAAAGATCCACAGAACTACCTTCTTGGGTTCATGCAGATATTTCTGTGTTTCTTTAGGATTCATTGGTGTTTCTGTTTTTTTCCTCTGATACCCAGCAGAAGCATCCAGTTTGGGATTGATGTAATAGCAGAATTTAATTCCTAGGGCAACATTTCATATTTTTACACTGCTTCAATGTCTAGGGTCTTTTTTATTATTATTATTGAAGTATAGTTGATTTACAAATATTGTGTTAGTTTTGGGTGAACAGCAAAGTGATTCACTTATACATATATATATATTCCTTTTCAGATTCTTTTCCTTTATAGATTATTACAAAATATTGAGTATATTTCCCTCTGCTATATAGTAGGTCCTTGTTGTTTATTTATATATAGTAGTGTGTATATGTTAATCCCAAACTCCTAATTTATCCCCCCGCTTTCCCCTTTCGTAACCGTAAATTTGTTTTCTATGTCTATTTCTGTTTTGTAAATAAGTTCATTTGTATCTTTTTTTATAGCTTTCGCATATAAGCAATATCATACGATATTTGTTTTTCTCTGTCTGACTTAATGATAATCTCTAGGTCCATCCATGTTGCTGCAAATGGCATTATTTCATCCTTTTTTATGGCTGAGTAATATTCCATTGTATACATATATATGTGGTATATGTATATATACCACATCTTCTTTAGGGTCTTTATAAATGGGAAAACACTGGAAAAGCAAGACAGGAAGGTGCTGCTTCAGGAAAAATGGTAGATTGAAAGAGGTCATTTTGTCACGATTGAAAATATGTGCGTGTGGCAAGAAGATTAGAACGAAATCATTACGGTTGTTGGGTTGAGATGGTAGGACTGTTTGTGATTGCTTTTTACTTTTTTTCTAGGTTTGATAAATAGGCTCAAGTTGTAAAATTTATTCTAAGAACAGTCGTTTCGTATTTTAAACTAACTATCCACTTGTGGGGAAAAAAACTGGCCAAATAGCTTTAATATTTTAGGATATCTTTTTCCCAGACTTTGCTCATATTGTTAAGGTCAACTTGATCATATCCATGGTGTCCTGTAGGAAGTGGGCAAGGAAGATTAACTTTGCTCAGAAGCTGTAGGTGCCAAGCTTTCAGTTCTTTTAGAAATTAATGCTAAGAGAGATCAAAGAACCTTTCCCAGGTCGATTAGCTGGTAAGTGGTGGAGTTCCATTCAAGCCCCAGTCCCATTGCCACCAAAGTCCACCCTCTTTCAACTAGAGTATAGAATGATGCTGCCGCAGGGCCCAGTCCTCCAGGCTTTTTTGCAGGGCATTTTTCTTTTTCCTTTTCTTTTTCTTTTTTAATTAATTTTTATTGGAGTATAGTTGATTTACAATGTTGTGTTAGTTTCTGCTGTACAGCAAGGTGAATCAGTTATACATATACATAAATATATAGCCACTCTTTTTTAGATTCTATTCCCATGTAAGTCATTAGAGTACTGAGTAGAGTTCCCTGTCCTATACAGTAGGTTCTTATTAGTTATCTATTTTATATATATAGTAGTGTGTATATGTCAATCCCAATCTCCCAATTTAGTCCCCCTTCCCCCTTGGTAACCATAAGTTTGTTTTCTATATCTGTGACTCTATTTCTGTTTTGTAAATAGGCTCATTTGTACCATTTTTTTAGATTCCACATATAAGCGATATAGTATTTTAAGTGTGTTAACTTACCGCTGGATTAGTAGTCCATTGAGAAAAATCGTATTGCAATATCGTTCTCTCTTTTTGAAAAACTAGGATTCTAAATTCCACATATACATACTTGGCTTCTACTCTAGTTAGAAAGACAAATACTGAGAGTGTTGTGTAGAATACATGTGTGTGCATCTGTGTTTTTGACATTAAGAAGATGAAAGAGGCATGGGAAGTACTTAGTTGAGTGGTTGTACTCCCCCAGAATTTGAAGTGATTCTCATGATCACACCTAAAGTTCTTAGATATATGAGATTGAGGCTAAAGTTAAATGTTTTACTGTTCAGTATAGTAGCTCTAAGTGACAGTTTCTGTTGAAGGAGGAGTGATATTGTTGCGAAGCAGAGATTTTACAGTTTCACAAAAATACCCATTGGCCCAGTAGGGCCTTAATTTATTTTTCTAATAAATTAATAACATTTAAAGATTTTTGCAGCTAATATTGTACAATTAACACTATAAGCTTTGTTGAGATACTGACATACAATATACTGCACATATGTAATTGTACAACTTGTTAAAATTTAACATACGCCTACACCTATGAAACTTCCCTTCAGTAAAGATAATGAGTGTATTCATTAGCCCCCCACAAAGATTTTTTTGGAGTGCTATATTTTCTAAGAAAAAAAAAACCCAGCCATTTAATTTCATTATCTAATTTGATGAAAAAGGCCTGGATGGGGACTCAGGTGTTGTGAGTCTGGACTCTGATCTTGCCCTGAATAGCTCTAGGAAATTCAGCCGAGTCCCTTAATTTTTCCAGGTCTTAGTTTTCTTATCTGAAAAATGAGGGGGTTGAACTAGATGGTCCCTAAGGCCCTGTATGGCTCTAAAGCTTAATAAAGCTAAGAGAACAGGCATACTTAGGGTATTGCTTTGTGTCCAAATGGTTTTATGTAAAAATATAGGCTTCCGCAGTCATCTGGTGTCAGCTGTGCTGCTGCATCCCGGCCCCTCTCTGCTTGATTGATTGATCATGAAATCATTTCGTTTCTTTTAATTCTCTTTCACCCTGATTCAAGGTCATTCATGTCATTACTTTCATGTTGTTCTTTCTAAGCCTAGGGAACTGGTCTACTTAAGAATTTAGGGGTAGGGCTTAAATAATGCTGGGAACTTGGCAGGCCTCAAGGGGCTGTGAGGGGCAACAGGACTGATAGCTCCTTGGATACTCTCGAGGCAGCTTGGGCATCTTAGTGGGGAGGGGGCAGAGACGAGCTGTACTGGATTTATTTCAGGGATGGGGGAAGGGAAGCAGACTGGAGTTTAATTAAAATTCTAATCCCAACTTGGCCCATCTTCTTATCAGCAACCAGCATTTCTGTTTGTGGTTCTGGTGATTTTGCTGTGATAACATATGTAGTTACCTCAAAAACTCTTGCAAATTGGCCTAAAATTTCAATATGATCACCAGATGCTTTAATCAGACTTGGCATGCTTCCATCTTTGGCCTGTGTTTTCAGAGATACCTCCTCCACCACTGCCATCTTTCTGATGGGAGGGCGGGCATTGGAGAGCTGGTGGTGAAAATTGAGCTGATTGCAAATGACAAAACAGTTTCATCACAGCATAGAGATCTTTCCAAACTATTTCTGTTTTCCCGTAGCTAAGTGGGATTTCTGAGGAGGGGCTGCTCTGATTTCATCTTGGCCCACCATGAGGTTCTTCCTGCTTAGTGCCTACATGCTGCTTCTGATGATTTCCCAGCTGAGAGCAGTCAGCTTTCCTGAAGACGATGAACCCCTTAATACTGTTGACTATCACTGTAAGTAAAATCTAAAGAACATTCTCCTTTTCTAAGAAGGAAGCTTTTTTTGGTTTTGATTTTCTAAGCATATTCATCTTTAGAAAGAGAGAGAGAGTTTTATGTCTTTATAATGGTTTACATACTAATTTATCCATAATCATTTCCTAGTGTCTGGAGAAAATGGGACAGTTTAGTTAGGTGCTTTTCTAAAGCAGCCCATATATAGGTTATATGTTTTCAGTTAAAAGAAAAAGACCATTTGCTGACATTCACTGTCCTTTATTCATTCATATTCAAGACCTTAAGAGGGGAATTTAGTTAAAACCCTTTTACAACTAGTATATACAGCTAATCAATGCTGTATATCGATTCTTCAGCTCCGTAATCCTGACTGATGGTTTAGCCCATTTTTACTTGCAGATTCAAGGCAATATCCGGTTTTTAGAGGACGCCCTTCAGGCAATGAATCACAGCATAGGCTGGACTTTCAGCTGATGTTGAAAATTCGAGACACACTTTATATTGCTGGCAGGTAATTTTCCTCTCGTTGGTTTATTAGATTAAAATTCTTTTCTCTTGTGGTGCTTGCATTAATGTGTCTAGTTCATGAAAAGCTAATATGTATTGTGATCAAAAATTGCAAGTAGCCAAAAATATTCACCTGGAAGAGTCAGTGTTGTGTACCAGGAACAAAATATAGCAAAAACCTTTAGCAGTCTTATTTTATTACTGCCATCAAGAAATCATGCACCATTCTTTACTCCTAAAGCAGCAGGAGAAAAAAATCATTCTTTATTCTTTTTTTAACTTGGAATTATTCAAGCAAATATTAGAAGTATGTCTGTGCTAATACCAAGTAGCAGTTTGACCCATGCCTGAAGAGCTTTCTTTGCTCCCTAACCACAGTGATATATGAAAGCAACTCACTAATGAAAAAGCACTCTCTGTTGACTTTGTTGGAGACAGAGAAAATCCAAATGATCTCTAAAACACAATAAAAGCAGATCTGTAAAAATAAAATAAGAATCAGCTTAACATTTTTATGTATTCACATGATATGACTTACTGCCTTGTTTCCAACAGGGATCAAGTTTATACAGTAAACTTAAATGAAATCCCCAAAACAGAAGTAATACCAAACAAGGTGAGCAAGTGTAGTTGGCAAATTTATTTGCACTCTCTCAGAACTTGGGTAATGTCCCTCTCCCCTCAGTATTTAAAATATTGAACTTTGGTTTGCTTGATTGATACAGAAACTGACATGGCGGTCAAGACAACAGGATCGAGAAAACTGTGCTATGAAAGGCAAGCATAAAGTAAGTGAAACAAACGAGTGCCTACTAGATTGAGTCTCTGTGGGGCCTTGAGCCCACAGTGGAAGCATATGGAATGTCTAATGTTAATGTAATTGTTACTTTCTTTAGGATGAATGCCACAACTTTATTAAAGTATTTGTTCCGAGAAACGATGAGATGGTTTTTGTTTGTGGCACCAATGCTTTTAATCCCATGTGTAGATACTACAGGGTAAGTATATTTTATACAATGTGCTTTTTTTAAATCAACTTTTCTTCCTTTACGGGAATGTCGTTAGCGTCAAATCCTTTCTCCTATAGACGCAGTAATTTGTTTTATCTCTAGTGCTATGGAGGAATAAAGACAATTCTTCCCATAGAATTTCAGTGCAAATAAAGCAGTATTGCCTTCAAACATGTACATTGAACAGATATGACACTAGCTATTTATTTTTCTTTTGTAGTTGAATACCTTAGAGTATGATGGGGAAGAAATTAGTGGCTTGGCAAGGTGCCCATTTGATGCCAGACAAACCAATGTTGCCCTTTTTGCTGGTAAGATTCTTTAGTGTAATGAATATAAATGATTAATGACACTGAAGGTGCAAAAGGAATTTAAAGGAAGAAAAAAGCTCATAACTAGGATAGCTACCTTGACACAGGTGTTTCAAAGACCAAAAGCCGGGCTTCCCTGGTGGCGCAGTGGCTGAGAGTCCGCCTGCCGATGCAGGGGACGCAGGTTTGTGCCCTGGTCCGGGAAGATCCCGCATGCCGCGTAGCGGCCGGGCCCGTGAGCCATGGCCGCTGAGCTTGCGCGTCCGGAGCCTGTGCTCCGCGGCGGGAGAGGCCACAGCAGTGAGAGGCCCACGTACCACAAAAATAATAATAATAATAATTTTTTAAAAAAGACTAAAAGCTATGAACAAGTTTTCAAAGAAGAGGAATTAAAAGTGAGCATATTATAAGTATTCTGACACTTGGCTCTGTTGTTAACTATGCCAGTGACCCTGAATAAGTTGCTTAACTTTTTGATGCTTCAATCCCTCATCTGTAAACTTAGATAATACCATGGGTCAACCTATCACAGGTTGATTACGAGCATCGGGTTTAGATTTATTTGTATATGTAGCAATAATGTAGGTGAAATCACTCCAAAGGATATAATACACTATATAAGATAACACACTTAGGATAATTATGGCTATTTCATCTAATGTATAACTTTGGTTTCAGATGGGAAGCTGTATTCTGCCACAGTGGCTGACTTCTTGGCCAGTGATGCCGTTATTTATCGAAGCATGGGCGATGGATCTGCCCTTCGTACAATAAAATATGATTCCAAGTGGATCAAAGGTATCTTTGAAGGACAGCTTTGGGAGATCACCAAGGGAAGTAACATGGCCGAGTGGGAACAGGAGACCTGGGCATCAGGAAATTCAGTGCATGACTTTATATTGTTTATTTAGAGCCAAGTACAAGCTGCCTTGGTTGTGAACGGGAGCATTAATGGGGGATGAGGAGACCAGTAGCCACATCAGGAAAGTAGATTTTTATCCTAAGTGACCTCAAAAAAAAGATCTCAATTCTGTGTGCCATTTGCCTAACTCTAAATGCATGTAATAATCCTTGCCCACTTCCATCTACCTACCCTGGAAAGTTAACCCTGGGAATCAGTAGTTCATATCTGCAGAGTTATTTTGATCTTTGGAGTCTAGAAATCAAGATTTTTTATTTTCAACGTAAGAAGTTTCCTTCCCTAGTTAACTACAGGTTAATGAATAAATCTGTTGAAACAAAGACCTTTGCTGTAGTTCATTTCCCTGTAGGCTTTTTCTAGTCCATTAGCTAACATTAAAGACTCTGGGTTCCCTGAAGCTTCAACACACCCATACTGGGACTCCACAGACTCGCTGGCATATCAGAGTTCTCCTTGGCTTGAATGTAGCAATGTGACATCTGTCAGTCATACCTGGCAGTCAGGGTCTGATACTAATTGAATTATCCTTCAGGAACCAGTTTGTTTTCAATTTCTCTTTCAGAGCCACACTTTCTTCATGCCATAGAATATGGAAACTATGTCTATTTCTTCTTTCGAGAAATTGCTGTAGAACATAATAATTTAGGCAAGGCAAGTATACGATTGTGCACTCATACTGCATGGAACTGAGCCCACTTTGGTAAAGTCTTTGCATATTTTCCAGCACTCAAAGCATTTAGGGCCAAGTGCAGAGAGGTGAGTTGCTTATCCTGAGAATAATTGCTGTGGAATGCCTGCACAATGGCCAGAGTGGGAACAGCAGCCGTGGGCCTTGAGATTTCTTTTTTTTTTCTGTTACTACAGAGAATGTTCTGCAGCCTCCCTTGAGCTATGGATGCTTCTTTAAGTTTTTAGAATCTATTGATAGCTATTCTTTCTCAGCGTCAAAAGACAGGATGGAAAGTAAGGGCCCCTGTTCAATGTTGAATACTTCAGTACAAGCCCGTATGATTCTAAAATATTGCGGCCCCTTCTATGCCAGGTTTAAGAATGGTGCATTTTGTTAACAATATGAGAAGCTAAGTGGGGGACAGAGCATGGGAATGGTTTCCATTCAGCCGGGCCGTTCGATAGCTCACTTCTTATGGAGCTTGTTTGGCAGAGCAGGAAAATGGCCCTTTTTTTCTCACAGTTAAATCTAGTTGACATTCTTACTATACAGATCCCTAGGGAGAAGGCTGCCGGAGTCTTTTTTTTTTTTTTTTTTTTTCGGTTTTGCGGGCTCTCTGCCGCACGCGGGCTTTCTCTAGTTGCAGTGAGTGGGGGCTACTCTTTGTTGCGGTGCGCGAGCTTCTCATTGCTGTGGCTTTTCTTGTTGTCCCCTGCATCGGCAGGCGGACTCCCAACCACTGCGCCACCAGGGAAGCCCCTGCCGGAGTCTTTTGAACCACATGTATCTTTAGCATGTTTCATCCCTCCCTTATCTGGCAGCTTTTTGTTCCTGTTCTTCCAACATGCTCATAACCCCGTTGCTTTGCTTTTGTCCCGTGGGCAGGCTGTATATTCCCGTGTGGCCCGCATATGTAAAAACGACATGGGTGGCTCCCAGCGGGTCCTGGAGAAACACTGGACTTCATTTCTGAAGGCTCGTCTTAACTGTTCTGTCCCCGGAGATTCCTTTTTCTACTTTGATGTTCTGCAGTCTGTCACAGACATAATACAAATCAATGGCGTCCCCACTGTGGTCGGGGTGTTTACCACACAGCTCAACAGGTGAGAACAGATCCCTGGCACTTCAAAAACCTTCCGTATCTCGCTTGTGGGAACCGAGAACAGGCCCGTTGTCTCCTGTTACCGTTCCTCTTTTTCAGCATTCCTGGTTCTGCAGTCTGTGCATTTAGCATGGATGACATTGAAAAAGTATTCAGAGGACGGTTTAAAGAACAGAAAACTCCAGATTCTGTTTGGACAGCAGTCCCTGAAGACAAAGTACCGAAGCCAAGGTAAGAAGAAAAAAAAAACCGAGAGGATTTTTGTCTATGACAAAACCCTCTGGTCACCGGAAGCATCCATCCTCAGAGAGCAGCTGGGCCAACCTCCCACTCCAGGAAGGGTCCCTGTGCAGCACTACAGACAGAAAGTCAGTGAATATGACTCTGAGAGCCTGAATATGGAGAGTCCGCAGAGTTCAGGGAAATAGCATCGCTCCTCTGGTTTGGTTCACTCTCCTTTCTCTCTTGACCTCGTCTTCCACAATGGACACTTAATCCCTAGATACAAATTGTGAGGGGAGACAAAACACACTATTTTCCTTTCAGGCCTGGCTGTTGTGCGAAGCATGGGCTTGCCGAAGCTTATAAAACCTCCATCGATTTCCCGGATGAAACCCTGTCGTTCATTAAATCCCACCCCCTGATGGACTCTGCCGTCCCACCCATTGCCGACGAGCCCTGGTTCACAAAGACTCGGATCAGGTAAGACTGTGCACAAACACGGACCCTCTCCCATCCAGTAGCTTCCCTTCCTGTTGTCCGCCCCCCTGACCTGGCTCCCCTCCTCTGGCAGGTACAGACTGACGGCCATTGCCGTTGACCATTCTGCTGGACCCCACCAGAACTACACAGTCATCTTTGTTGGCTCGGAAGCTGGCATGGTACTTAAAGTTTTGGCAAAGACCAGTCCTTTCTCTTTGAATGACAGCGTGTTACTGGAAGAGATTGAAGCGTACAACCATGCAAAGTAGGTATATTATACGAGAACACTTTTTAGTACTTCCGGTGTGTGTGTTTCATCTGGTCATTTCCTTCCAGCCCTCTAAATTAGCAGTGGTTTGGTATATCAGTGTTTTCTTTTGTTTTGTTTTTTTCCTCACTGAAATAAAACCCGGGTTTGTTGTTTCCCTGAGTCCACTAGGGCTTGGAGGGTAGACAGTGATGAGTTTAAAAATAATTCAGCCCTTGTTTGTCACCTGTGGAAAATGAGAATATCTTACCACCACCCTCTTACCTTGAAGATATATTTCAGGATGCTACATGGAGCAGACAGCTGATTGCAAACACACACACACAGTACACCATAATTCTTCTAACCACTGATATAAAAAATTATGTGGACCATTAAAACAAACAAGAAATAGATGAGAGAAATGGAGCAAAGAAGACTAAGGAGAGATCCGGAAATATCTAGCACAGGAAGATTTAAATGCATTAAAACATTATCCTTTTTCTTCCCTATAGTCTAACATGCTATTCACAAATGCAATTCCCTTCGATCATCAGAACGGGAAGCCAACCTTTAAAAAACCCTTTGTCCAGCCTGAAATTAAACCAGCCATGCAGAGCAGTAGATGAATCACATCATTATTACTTCCTGAACTACGTGCTTGCCTGGTTTGCTACTGAGAGTATTCCTTAACGCCTCCCCAGCTCTCAGTAATTGCAAAAACCAAACCTCACTTGCCTCGTGTAGTTCCTGTAGCTTTTGACTTACTAAACGTATATCTTCAAAATGTCTCCCACAATATAGGTGCAATGCTGAGAATGAGGAGGACAGAAGGGTCATCTCGCTCCAGTTGGATAAAGTTCATCATGCTTTATATGTGGCGTTCTCTAGCTGTGTTATCCGCATCCCCCTCAGTCGCTGTGAGCGTTATGCATCATGTAAAAAGTAGGCTGATGTTTCTTTCCTTATCCCGGCCGGGTCTTACAGCAACATTACCTTTGATGATGAGAAAATTCAAGTTACGTTCTGTTTGGTTTCATACAGGTCTTGTATTGCATCTCGAGACCCGTACTGTGGCTGGTTAAGCCCAGGGGCCTGTGGTCAAGTGACCCCAGGGATGCTGTAAGTATATACTTTGTCACATTAGCTGAGATCTTCCCCAGATGTGCTTCTATCTTCTCCAGGGACTCTAAAGCTAGAAATTTTAGCAAACTTCCAGTAACACTACTTTTCTTTTTTGCTTTACTTTTCTTTCTTTCTTTCCTTTTTTCTGTTTTTGTTTTCTGTTTGTTTGTTTTGTATGGGAGAAGGAAAAAAAGAAAATCTGGAGCTGTGAGAGGGAAAGGAGATTGTAGACAGTGAAATACCTACGGGAAATGGATGGAGAGAAAGAGCCAATTCTCTTCTGCTCTCTTAAACATTCTAGTTACCAAATGTTTAATAGAAATACTCATTTTAGCAAGCTATGTTGAAATGTCCTTTTTTTTTTCTGTCTGCTCATTCTTACTAATCCATCTGTGTTCTTGGTTCTGCTCTGGTTGTCACTTGTGTTCCTATGAAGGCTGTTAACTGAAGACTTCTTTGCTTTCCATAACCACAGCGCTGGAGGATTTGAACAGGACACGGAATATGGCAACACAGCCCATCTAGGGGACTGCCATGGTAAGACCGAACCTTCCTTTCCCTCCTGGTGCTTCTTTTTGACCACATTTGCACGTGAACGTTATTTTACAATCAGCCTTTTATAATGACTCGGGACACCTGCCACCTAGCATTTAACTTAAACTTCACAAAAGCTGAGCTCTTTGGTCATGGGGATACATTAGAGAAGAATCTTACTTTTTTTTTTTCCTTCACCATTTACAATCTTGTAGGAAATCTAGAGAAAGGTCGTCTAAGCAGTAGGTTACTCTTTTAATTTATAGTCCTTTCCTTTGACTTTTTGAGTTAATTGGAATTCGTAAATTTTTGCTTTCTTTTGGTTACTTTTTACTGATTACTTGTTCCTTTAATTCTTTTAGAAATTTTGCCTACTTCAACTACACCAGATTACAAAATATTTGGCGGTCCAACATCTGGTTAGTTTTTTTTCATTTTTTTGAATTAACAACCTTTTCTTTCCTTCAGTTCAGCATTTTCAGCCCCTTCTCCCTTCCTTTTGCACAGTTTGGCAGCCCTTCATTTTTCTGCTTTGACTCATAACCCCCCTGATGGTCCGAAAGACTTTTTCTTATTCAGCACTTCACCCTGTGTAGCATGTTAACAGCCCATCATTGACCAAGGCACATCCTTTAAGAAAAATCCAATGGATTAACATAGGCTGCATTCCAGCTGCACGCCCGTCCACCCAAGCTTTCTTCTCTCTCACCCCTGTGCATTGTGAATGTTCCCTCTGGTCATCTGTATTCAATGGATGGCAGAATTTCATTATTTACCCCTTCTCTCCTCACCTTTCCTAAGACCTAGTAAACAAATACACATTTCCCCAAAATGTGTATTTATAAATTTGAGAGATCTTTTCTGAATGGTTTGTGGTGATCCTAGAAACCTTTGAATGTTGTGGTCTCAGTGGTGTGAAAAAGGTTCCCATCGAATGAAGCTGGTTTCTGATGTATTAAGATGTTCGCTGGGCTCCCTGTGCCCCTCTCGTCTACATCCGTTTTGGAGTCTTCATCTATGACCGTTGCACCAGTCTGAATTGGGGTCTCCAGGGTTTTAACCTAAGATCATATGCTTACATTTTGAGGGAAAATCTACTTGGCAGAAATCAGTAATAGACACACTAAGAGGTTAAGTTACTCCCGATCCTGTTGCTGGTCCTAAAACTTAGCAGCAGTTTCATTCCCCAGAGGGGAGAAAAGGATGGAAGATCTTGTGTATCAGAACATCCTTATTCAGCTTGTGAATGCCATTTCTTTTGCATGAGTTGCTGCTAACCCTTTGGAAGAAACTCCCCGGGCATTTTGGAAGGCACGGACAAGGTTCATACCTGCTTCAGTGCTTTACCATGGATGGTGAGCCCTCAGTGCAGTCAGTAATCTACAGATAGACGAGATGTCTGTGGTAAAGGAGGACAGCTTCTTTGTCAGGTCTAAAGTCAAGTGTTTATGCAGACCTAATCAGGTGTTTTCTGATGACGTTACACTGTAGGTTCCCCAGTGAAGGCAATACAGTTTCCAACCATCTATGAAAATGCTTTAAACAAATATACACAAAAGAAGTGATGTTGTCTCACAAAAGGATGAGAAACTAGCAATTAGTCTTTGGGATTCATCGTACCTTTTCCATGAGTGTCATTAATCACCGCAGAGGCTTCGTAGAGGAGTATTTTCAGTGTCTTCAAGTTCGAAATCTGCTTAATATGTGTTTATTGTTCATTTTTAGCTTATATTTTTCCCTTGCAAGAAAAGGATTTGGTACAATCTCCTTGGATGTGTTTTTATGAAATCCTAGAACAGGCTTTCTCATAAAATTTGCTTAAACTTTACTTGAAAATACAACGGACCAGTCAGAAGCAATCCGCTGTCACTACCCATGTTAATAAAAATCTGTTTGCCACCACAGACATGGAGGTATCTTCATCTTCTGTTACCACAATGGCAAGTATCCCAGAAATTACACCTAAAGTGATTGATACCTGGAGACCTAAACTGACCAGCTCCCGGAAATTTGTAGTTCAAGATGACCCAAACACTTCTGATTTTACTGATCCTTTATCAGGTATCCCAAAGGGTAAGGCCTCACCAGGGAACTCATCTCTCACTGAGTGGAAACCTGATTCCTAATATCTCTGAGGAACGTGTGGAGGTGAAGCCCGACGGAGCTGCCTCTGTTGTTACCATCGCCGCCGCTGGCCACACTCACACCGGTTTTCTGTGGTTACGTGGAGTGTGCATTCCTTAGCAGATGAAAGAGGTGGAAAGCTGTTGAAGAAGGAGTTGGTAAAACAGCCACTCAGACAATCTAATCCGTGTTGGCTTCTGTCTGAAAAAGCTACACTCTGCTGGGTATCAGAGAATTCCGAGGGTCACCCCAGCGATATCCAAAAGCAAAACTCATTAACTGCAAATATCCTGATATCGGATGTTTTGTTGAGGAGCCTTTCCCAGACTTTTGTTTAGCTGCAATTTGCAATGCAATCTGAAAAGTACGGGAGGCGCGAAGTTGTTTGAATGTCACAAGCACTGAAACCTAACAGAGTGCTCATCCGTAACTATCATTTTCAGCCCATAATAGAAGCATTTATCAAAGAGCTGTCTGCTGAGTTACCTTGTTAGACAGATCAGTCTGGGAAAAAAATCTATTCTTTAGTGCTTACTAAACTGTGGTATCAGGTTTCCAATCAGTTTTTATAGCAGTGCATTGTCATTTATGATTTACATCTATTGATTTTGGTTTTATTTGTTTTCATTGTAAACAATTTTATAATCATTCTTCCTCTTTTATTTTCTTTAGTAATTCCATTTCTCTCTACATTTCTTTCTTTGTCTTTCGCGATGCCACTGAATTCCATAGCCCTCAACACTGGTTAAAAACAACTAATGTTCAAAGGCCTTAGTACTAACCTAGAGCAACGGAATCTTCAAATCACTCTGACTTACCTTACTCTGGGATAGCTGTGCTTGTAGCATGTAACAGACTTGGATACCTCTTAAACTAACATGTCTAGATGTCTGTGGTTGCATTAAAACTCCCAATAATTATAAACTAATTCACTCTTCTATTTCTAGTCTAATTTAAATATTTCTTAAATATCTTAAGACAATTGGATAATATTACTTAACATAGTATATTTCCTTAGACTGTCTGCATTTCTTTCATAGCAGGCAATTCAAGAGTGCTTCACTCCAAGATGGAATGAAAAAAAAAAAAATCAAAGTAAACATGGAAGGCTATATTGGTAGCTAACAGTGACCAAGCAGATGCTTTTAGTTTGTGAACGAACTATATACTTTCATTCTAATTAAGATAGCATAATTACTTTAGTAAAATATATATTTATACCAACTCATACATTTCCCTAATCCCAGTAGCTTCCCTTTAATCCTGATTTATGAGTTAAGAGAAAATCATGAGAAAAAAACATTTTATGAGTTTAAAATGGGCCACTTAGAAAATATATACCTTCTAGCTCTAATTTTTAAGTAGAAACTCTTAAAATTTTGAATGTTATATAACAACTATTTAAGAGAGATTGGAGGGGAAAAGGCAAATACAGATCAGTGGAAGATCAGAGTTATCCTGGTATTCGTAGCGATCATAAATGTCTCTGGGGATCCTATTGGGATTAAAGAAAAAAATATGGAATTTTGGAGTCCACCTCACCCTCCAAGCTAAGCATATGGACCATGTGAAGGTAGTGTTGGTTCAGTGGGAGCCACTTGCTGGCCAATATTGTTTTAAAGAAGCTCCTCACTCAGACTCTCTTCCTGTGTGTCTATTGCAGGTGTACGATGGGAAGTCCAATCTGGAGAGTCCAACCAGATGGTCCACATGAATGTCCTCATCACCTGTGTCTTTGCAGCTTTTGTTTTGGGTGCATTCATTGCAGGTGTGGCAGTATACTGCTATCGTGACATGTTTGTTCGGAAAAACAGAAAGATCCATAAAGATGCAGAATCTGCCCAGTCGTGCACAGACTCCAGTGGAAGTTTTGCCAAGCTGAATGGTCTCTTTGACAGCCCAGTCAAGGAATATCAACAGAATATAGATTCTCCCAAATTGTATAGTAACCTGCTGACCAGTCGGAAAGAGCTGCCACCCAGTGGAGATACGAAATCCATGGTCATGGACCATCGAGGCCAGCCTCCCGAGCTGGCTGCTCTCCCGACACCTGAGTCTACACCTGTGCTTCACCAGAAGACCCTGCAGGCCATGAAGAGCCACTCAGACAAGGCCCACGGCCATGGGGCTTCAAGGAAAGAAACCCCCCAGTTTTTTCCTTCTAGTCCTCCACCGCATTCCCCGCTAAGTCATGGACATATCCCCAGTGCAATTGTCCTTCCTAATGCTACCCATGACTACAACACATCTTTCTCAAACTCCAATGCTCACAAAGCTGAAAAGAAACTTCAAAACATTGACCACCCTCTTACAAAGTCATCCAGTAAAAGAGATCACCGGCGTTCTGTGGATTCCAGAAACACCCTCAACGATCTCCTAAAGCATCTAAATGACCCAAATAGTAACCCCAAAGCCATCATGGGAGACATCCAAATGGCCCACCAGACCCTAATGCTGGATCCCATGGGACCTATGTCCGAGGTCCCGCCCAAGGTCCCTAACCGCGAGGCATCACTCTACTCTCCCTCGACCCTCCCCAGAAATAGCCCAACCAAGCGAGTGGACGTCCCCACCACTCCTGGCGTCCCAATGACTTCTCTGGAAACACAAAGGGGTTATCATAAAAATTCCTCCCAGAGGCACTCTATATCTGCTATGCCTAAAAACTTAAGTTCACCAAATGGTGTTTTGTTATCTAGACAGCCTAGTATGAACCGTGGAGGCTACATGCCCACCCCCGCAGGGGCGAAGGTGGACTATATTCAGGGAACACCGGTGAGTGTTCATCTGCAGCCTTCCCTCTCCAGACAGAGCAGCTACACCAGTAATGGCACCCTTCCCAGGACGGGACTAAAGAGGACACCGTCCTTAAAACCTGACGTACCACCAAAGCCTTCATTTGTCCCCCAAACCACATCTGTCAGACCACTGAACAAATACACTTACTAGGCCTCAAGTGTGCTCTTCCCCATGTGGCTTTATCCTGTCCATGCTGTCGAGAGGATGATGTTGTAAGGGTACCTTAAGACAAGAGACTCGCTTGTATTTTAAGAGAACCAAGTGGCCAAAGAAACTCTTCCTAACTTTGGCAACATCAGAACTTGCCATACGCAGCTACTGCAGCAAGGCTTCTGTGTACTTGCCTGAAAACAAAGGAAGGTGCTGGTCATTCCATTTCTTTTGTTTGAAACTAAAGAGATATGTGGCTCCGAGGGGCTACCTGTAACCAGTATAAGGAGCTGATACAGTGCTCAGAAGAATCTGTCTGTGAGCAAATACTTGAAAATGGGTTCAACTTAGACTGCCATTCTGTGTGGTCTTCCCATTAAATGTGAACATTTTAATATGTATGCATTCACCTTGCCTCTTGCACAAATGTCAAAAAACAATGGTAATGTCTCAAAGAAAAGAAGTTGTAGATTACCAAACAATTTGCTAAAAATTCAGTCTTTGACCCAAACTGTAGCATTTTTTTATGTGTGGCATTTTTTTTCATGCCACCGAGGAACTGTGTTGCGTGTGCATGTGTGTGTGCGTGTAAGTGTGTGTGTGTGTGTGTGTGTGTGTGTGTGTTTCTGTCCCCACTAGGATTTGTTTAGGTGCCCATTGCATCTTTTAGTGCTATGGAGTTGTTTACATCGCACATTACTGAACAAGAGACAATAACTTGTTCCCACAGCAGTCCATTGGGTTCAGCTTTGAGAAAGAAAGAAAACCGAGGCTGATTTTGACGGTCAAAACGATTAACTTGACTTACGTGTTACCCAATGCCAGAATGTAAGAGTTCTAAGTAATTTTGTGCTGCTATTCACTAAAACTTCTGTAACAGTCTTGCCAGCTTAAGGAGATGGAGATGATAAGAGGTATCCTTGATTTATCCACCAGTATTCAGTAGTAAAATTCACCTGTCCACTGTGAATCCAAGCCCGAATCACTCTACTCAACCTTGGACACACTAACGAGGTTTTATCTTGATTGGTTTCTCCCATGTAGTAAAATTCCTCTTCTTTTAATTCCCCCTAACCCCAAGGTAAAACAAACACACACACACACACACACACACACACACACACACACACACACACACACAAAACAGAACACAAAAGAAGGGGATGTGAGAGGGTTGTAACTGGCTTAGCAGAAACAGTGTGAAAACCTAACAGTGGTGCAATCATGTTGTCTATGTTGTGTGATATGAGAATTTTCTCCTAAGTCATGCAGGTAATGACAGTATACTGTACATATTACATGTGAGTTTACCTTAAATCTGTGCATTTTGTGCCTTATTCATGAGAATGATAGAAGTACTCAAATATGTCAAGTGTTTTCAGTATAGCACATCATTTACTGAGTGCCAGTTGTAAATGTTTTTCAACCAGCACCTGAAAAGACTTTTAAAAAATCCTAACAATCTAGAACAGTTAATTGTAAAACAATCTATCCAAATAGCTGCATTACATCCTTTGCCATGATAAACATTCCACTCCTACTTTCTTAAGGATGAAACAGTGATAATGTGAAGTCAAATGAGGTTTCCTGGGTAACGTGACACCTGCGGAAACCATACAGAGTCATTTATTTGTAGTTTTGCAGAAGCCACTTAGAGTTGATTATGTGCAACCCTGATGACGATTTCGGTTAATATGCTGCACACCACGGTTTATTGAACCTCATCTAGAAAGTATCAAGGCAGAGGAATGCTCCTGACTTAGTCAGACAAATTAGTTCAACTGTTTTCCTGTGATGATATCTATTACTTGGGGGAGGTGGGTTGCAGAAGACCAGAGCATTTTGATGCAGAATGTAGAATACGGATGCAGTTATTCTTTTCCTTTGAGAATATTGTTTAATAAAGAACGCAATTCCCTGAGGTCTCTGGAAGCTCAAAAGCTAAAACTCCTGTTCTTGATACACTTCAGCTTTGAAACTAAAGTATTACAGATTGATAATAAATTAAACCAACCAACGATAAACACTACTCAGTCCATCGCTGACAAACCTGTCTGAATTCACCTTACCAGTATTAATCCCAGCGTGCGGAAAGTGGAACAGTAACTCTATGTGAACCCGGATAACATTTTGTAACATTGTGCTGCCTTGTAGTTTGTAATGTGAGTTCTATCAGTATTTATGTTGAAATTTCTAACATAAAATCTAGTCTGTATCCTGTTAATTTAATTTTTAAATGCTTTATCCATTTGTGCAAAGGTAAACACAGATTGTATCTTTTTTAATGGTACGGCATAAAAAGTAACCCTAAAGTGAAGTGGCTCTATACTGTTTTATAGAGTACTTTAACATGTATAGATATCTTGTAAACTTGTATTGTGGATGTGTAAATAATATGTACTTTGAGTTTTTAACACCGCATGTAAAGTCAAAATAAAATATACAAATCATTATATCCTGCCTCTTGCTGTTGAAGAGGTCTGGAAGGTATCGTGTTTTTAAAATATTTTTAAGTCAGTCAACATCCTTGAGAGCTTCTTTTAAAATATACCAAAATATTCTTACCTGGAATACTTGCCGTCAGGTCGTGGTTACACCACCATTCTCATCTTGGAAGGCGGGCAGAGCCCCTGAAAAACGTATAATTCAGAAAACCAGATGAACTGTACTACAGCAACAGTCAAATGCTTCAGGCCAACATCCCAGTGGCTCACCTTGTCCACGTATCGCTGGTTCAACAGGCATTTTTAAAATTCATGATATGTGTTCTCGTGTGAAATTTTTAATATTTTAGTCTAAAATTATAGCTGGTAAATCAGGTTCCTGTGAACATTTCTTGCTATTTGGTATAGGGCATTTCTCAACTCCATTGTTTCAATCGAATCAGAATGTAGTAAGAGATTACGTTCCTCAAATATGGAAATGGGAGGTAAAGTAATGATTCCACTTAGTTCTTTCCTTAGCATGGCATGAGTTAGTGGCTGCTGTCATTGGGCTTAGACAAATGAAGGAAGGAAGAGACAATTAAGGGAAATGTATCTTCAGCCTTGCTTCTCCCTGGGCTTCGTGAGCATTGTATTCTCTTTCATTTCTATGGTCTATTTCTATTAAGTTGCTGTTTATTATACCTTCTGGCCATTTTACAGATTTTCCTGGGTTCAGTGATTTTCTTTTTCTTCTAAAAAGTGCATCTTTCTCTTCTTCCTTTATAGCAGATTTTAGCCTTTTTCAATCATGGACATCTTTGGTAATTTAATGAATGGTACGGACTGAGAGCTGAATTTCATTGTCCGTTTTCAGGGGATTTACAGACCCCTAAAACCACATCTACGAATCCTCGAGATAAAAGCTTAGATGCCATTTGAGAGAAATGAAGTTAGAGAGCTTGGGGCTTTTCATAAGGAAAGCATTGTAAAGAAAATGAATTAACCAAGACACACCACCCATACTCTGGTTCCAGGGATCCCATTGGTTGGCATTCAGGTTACTCTGGGAAGTGGCAACACAAGAGATGCTGGTTCAGGCTAAGAAGAAAGGGTGTCTCACATGCAAAGTAGTGGGCCTTGTGTGGCCTAGGTGCTGGCCAGGTACCAGGAGGACTCGCCTTTCTGCCAACTGAGAGAAGCCAACTTTCTCCCTTCTCCTCCCCTCCCAGCTCATCTCCTACATCCTCCTTATCAGAGGAGGGCAAAGAACAAGGGGTCCAAAATAGCCCTGGGTCCAGGTCTGGAGCTGGGTTCAGATCCCGACTCCACTACCCATCAAGTAACTGCAGCACTATACCTCTCTCTTTTTTTTTTTTAACTTTTATTTCATATTGCAGTATAGTTGATTAACAATGTTGCATTAGTTTCAGATGTACAGCAAAGGGATTCAGTTACACATATACATGTATCCGTTTTCAAATTCTTGTCCCATTTAAGTTGTTACATAATACTGAGCACAGGTCCCTGTACTATACAGTAGGTCCTTGTTGGTTATCCATTTAAAATATAGCAATGTGTACATGTCAATCCCAAACTCCTTAACTATCCCTTCCCCTCAACCCTTCTCTCCCCACTGTAACCAAAAGTTCATTCTCTAAGTCTGTGAATCTGTTTCTGTTTTGTAAATAAGTTCATTTGTATCATTTCTTTTTAGAATATCATACGATATTTCTCTTCCTCTTTCTGACTTACTTCATTCAGTATGATGATCTCTAGGTGCATCCATGTTGCCACAAATGGCATTATTTCATTCTTTTTAACGGCTGAGTAATATTCCATTGTATATATGTACCACACCTTCTTTACTAATTCCTCTGTTGATGAACATTTAGGTTGCTGCCGTGTGTTGGCTGTTGTGAACATTGGGGTGCATGTATCCTTTTGGACCATGTTTTTCTCCAGATATATGCCCAGTAGTGGGATTGCAGGATCATGTGGTACCTTTATTTTTAGTTTTTTAAGGAACCTCCATACTGTTCTCCACAGTGGCTGTATCAATTTACATGCCCGCCAACAGTGTAAGAGGGTTCCCTCTCCTGATTTCAGTTTTCTTATTTTTGAAAGGAGATGGTTCAACATCCATTTCTCTGACACTTCTATGGTATCTGTCAACTCTATAGCACCATTAGCTATTTTATGAATGCTACACTTCAATGTTACTCTTTCAATAGCTTGGTCTGTAAGCTTTTTATGGATGTGTGAGCCCTGTTCCCTGTTAGATGTGAGGTATATATGAGATTGGCAATAAAATAAGGCATGAAAACAATGCATTTTAAGCCATTTAGCTTGTGTCTATATTTGATGTTTACCCTTTTTGCATATATAGCATGCAAAACACTTAAATCTCTGCTAACGTTGCCTTCTTTATCAAATAGGTGTGATACCATAAACAAGGAGGAAGTGGACGGATAATAAAATCAATCTTTAGTTCACAGAGGAATCAGGGGGTGAGAGGTTGGGGGAGGGCAGTCAAACCCTGGATATTCAGACCATGAATCAACTGGGACTCACATA